GGGATTAAAGATAATTACTCCCCTTTGCGGTTGGTAGAACAAGCTAAGCTGTGGCCACGGCTTATATGGCTCCTTATTTTGAATATACTTGATCAATGAGATAAAGGTTATAAAGGATTTGAATTAACAAATCCTTTTATTCATACTTAAATCTCTTTGATCAATGCAAATGGATCAGCTTACAAAAAATAGTGGCTTTTATTTTTTAATGAAAATAACGTTAGTAATACTGATAGGTATTTAACAAACGAACGTTAAAAAAATGTCACGTATTATGACGTCAGATACATTGTCATTATTTCAAACACAAAATAGAATTCTGTCAACTAATTTAATAATCATCTGATATTTTATTACATAGACGAGTATGACGATACAAATTAAATTTATCAACTTATACAAGTTTATTGGGCATGACACATCTCTATATGACGTTTATATTTATCTAAAGATAGGATCGTTATATCAGATGTAAATTATAGAAACCAATATCATAAATTACATCGTAAACACAGTCCAGATTGCGCAGGTACAAACCTGCTTCAATCACAAAATTAAGACGGAAGCTTCCCAATCTGACTGAAACTGAATATTAATTGCCAACAAGATGACACAATAATTACTTTGGCAGTCATTAAAGATGAACGACAATTACACCAAATTGTTCTCAAATATACAATCACATATATTTTAATTAAAGTTAAATTTTAATTAAACTCGACCGGAGTGACACCACGGCCTCACAGAAAACCGGCAAAATAACCATAGCGTTAGCGCCCAATCCTTAAATATCCAAAAACCCCAATGCTCAGAAGGCCGGCACGCGCTCCTAACTACTTTGGTGTTGCGGGTGTCCATGAACAGCGCGGATTGCTTACCATCATCCGTCTGATAGTTTGCCGACCTATTCCAAAAGTTACAAGTATTTGGTTTGATAATAGTAGCTTTCAAAGCGCAAAGAAAATGTGATGAAAATTATATCGAACATAAATAACTGGCTGGGTGTTAGTCACGACGTCGCTGACTCATATGAAAATTTTGTGACGTACGCTCTGGCGCTTACCAACTATCTTGACTCATGCATCTTGGCTCAATTTCCTTTTAACATTATAGACTTTATCTTAATTCCTATTTATGGCATTTAGATTATAAGAACCTTTTACAATAATCTCTGTATATATTGGCCTGGTGGTCTGGTGATCCAAAGATCTACACGTACATTGTTTTTATGTGATCGGACGGCATTACCGATCTTATGGTTTTCTGCGAGGCCGTGGCACACTGCAGTCGAGCCGACCCAGTCATACCAAAGCATGGATGTCAAACACTTAAAAATGTATTTCTTTAATATAAAACGTCAATCCATTTGTCTTACTTGCTGTGCGATTTTTATCCTTACTGTCAATATCCTACGTGCTATATTATTCAGATTCAGGCTATCGATTCGCAGTCAAATTGCCTGAATTGTAAACTTCACTTGGTCTATCAATCAATTTCAATTTCAATATTAAACGTCGAATATGTGAAACGAATAAAACTGGCTACTTTTGTTTACTATCGTGAGTGATTGCTCGGAGTAAAACTTCTTCGTAGTACATTACCCTGAATGTATCAGTGTTCATATCTGTGTGTAAAGTACACAGACACGTGTAATTATTTGTACAATCACTTATCTGCCGCAGATATAGAGATAATCCAGTACAATTTCGCGCGAGCGTAATTGGGTAGTTTCCAACCTAGTTAGAACGGGTTATCGCTAAACAGATAAGTATAATAGATGCTGAACCACAATGTGTCACGACCATATCAATTACACCTTCGATAACTTATCATTTTAACATTCAATATCTCTTTCATGTTATAATTCAATTTGTTCGTAAATGTATAAAACAATTAAGTTTGCTATTTGCGAAAATAGATTCCACAGCATTACGGTTCAATTGTGAAATGTAAACGCATTTCCAATATTGAAATGTTAATTAACACGTTGTTCTAGGATTAAATTTCATGGAAATATTACTTTGTGGCGATGAGATGAGAGTTCGATATCATTTGTATGCATAGGTAAACAGTGAATATTCTCTTTTGTGGCGTTGCAATACTTACGGTATTTGATTTTACGATACTGGAATATATTTTTTTTGCAGAATATATTTTGTTCCTTTTGAATGCTTCGTTAGTGTAGTTGTGGTGAATACAGCTAGTTTCTACAAAAATCATTGGAAACCGTGTGTTTTGACACTAAACGTTACTGCAAAAATAAAAGTGACTATCCATATATTAAAAACGCGTGTTACGTAGACGCTTTGAAGTAACTAACTAAACAACTTGAATTTCGGTATCCTGCAAAGCTTTCAAGCTAATAGCATTCATTCGACACTTATGAATTTTCATTCCAATTCAGAAATATTCTATTTCTGGTATTAATTTCTATTTAGAAAGGTCAGTGGAGACTTTACGGGCATTATTTATCTTTGCTTCTGTTAATAGGTTCTGAGGTATGCCATGTGAGTAATGATTTAATATTCACACTCCTCTTTAGAAAATTGATGAGGTTGTGGACTGGTAATGAATTTAGTTTAATAGCCAAGTCGTGAAAGATTAGGGAGGGTTCAGCCTCTGTCATTGTGACGGTGACATTTCTACGAAATATTAATGAGTCTGTTATTCTCTTTGTATGCTGCACCTGTCTGCATTCAGCGTTTAATCATCATGGACGTTACAGAATTGCCTGGATGTTTTCCAACAATCAACGCGTGTCGATTTAATCGTACAAGAGATACAAAAATAAATAACAATGTACTGATTTCTTCTATTCACATATATTGGAAACAAGCATGTTTGTTAGAAGTTTTACTATTCATAAAATAAATTTGCTTTGTAATCTTCTTTTTGTTGTAAAGAAACTGTGTGAAAGAAAACTCTTCAAGGCATAAAATCTATCCTATTTTTATTCGCGTATTGTTATTTCTGTTAGTTATTCCTGAACGCGAAAGTGTGGTAAGGAAATTCTTGTTGCGTTTTCGTGTATCTACGGAATTTTTCAATATATCGACAGGTTGAACTGTTACAAGGATCAAAGTGGAGAAGAACTATTTGGTTCCCGGATCTTTTCCAGAACGTGTTATATTAAGGACGGGTCTTATACCGCAGCGCCCTCTATAATGTTGAGGTTAACAGCGTCAAAGGTGACATATTTGTCACTATTGATCTTTAATCCTTCAAAAATAAAAGTAAGAAAGACAGGCAGGATAGCAATTGAATTAATTTTAAAAATGTAGTAGATAAAACAAAATAAAAAATCTTTTTATCTGTTATAAAACGCTGTTTATATACTGAATTAGATGTTACCATTTGACGTTAAAGTTTTTATGGTAAGCCGACGAATAAACATGAGTTCAGCCATATTGAAATAACATTGTGAGTGTGTTTTATTTTGAAAGCCGAATATATTTGCCTAGTCTATTCAACTGCATATATTTATTATTGATTTTCTAAATCTATGTACATATTATGTGCTTACTGAACAGATATTTGTGGGTGCATACATATATATGCATATATGTAATTACCTACGTAAATTATGTTGTGTATTTGTGTTGCATTCACGTAAAACCTTTTTTGTACGTGGCCGTGGGTTTGAATTTGTTGTGCGATATCATAGAAAAGGATTAGAAAAAAGAGGAAATATATGTTTTTGGAGTTCTTCTTCTTATCTTTTGCTTACCTGTGCGTAACCTGGGTCGGGTGAATTAAACATTGAACATTTTTTAATAGGTTAATCGGCACCCACCATAGATACCCATCACTAGCGCAGTTACTAGTGCGTTATTTATAATTTGGAAGATTATCCAAAATCTCATTAATATCGGGCTATTTTAAACACAGTTTTAGCTCGTCTATCATAATATGTATGATTATGTATCTGATTAATCAAAATAAATACAAATTCCTAATAACACACCACGGTATAATAAATTTAGCATCGTCCAAATTTAGACATCGTTATTAAATTTTCTCACAACATATTCTTCTGAAGTTTATCACGTCATAAAGTAATTTGTAGATAACGAAACTTTTGCACATCGTCACGTAATATTTATATCGAGCTATAAATATATTTATCAGTGATATCTAATAGAATATCGCGTGGTTACAAGTAACTATGACATTCAAGTATGAGCTCGTAAATAATACAGCTACATGAATATTACATGCATTTACTTGCTACTAAATATTTCCTAAAGAAAAAACTACGAGAAAAGCATAAAAGGTGAAGGCAATAAAACGTACGGACTATGAAACGTGTGTCATAAGACATGTGTGTGAATATATAGGAAATAAAATGGGTTACAATATCGCTCGTTTCAGGCCTTATAATATTTTCTTCAAAACAATTCAACGTGTTCATGTGTGAAATATGAAAAGTCTTGAACATTCATGTTTCAGTTTCTTAAGTAAGATTTGTAATGACAAAATGTTTGCCGCTGTATAAACAATTGGTACACCTATTTATACCTTGGTTTTACGCTTAAGTAAATTTATTGTGTTCGTAATTAACTTTCGACAATGTTTTAATGTAAATAAAACAAGCTCAAAAAGTCGTAGGTATAAACAGAACAGTTGTAAAGAGTCGTACTTTTACTTTTCCAATGACGCAAGTCGTTATAAATGTATTTCTCTTGGCAAATACAATCTTATGTGTATTCCAATTTTTGGCTTCATTTATTTAAGAACTTTCATGTTTGTGTTTTGCAAGTGAACTAGACATTCATAATCTAACTTGACGTCAGAAAAACATTCGACATAATAATTATTGTCTGTCGAGACTGAATATGTCAGAATGTCAAGTGTGTCTTTTTTTGTATTTTCTGACATGCTTTAAGCTAAATAATATGTGACGCAAAAGTATGTAGCGACGTGGTATTTTGTGTTTGTACGTTATTTTGTGTGTTGGGAAGGGAATATAGATAAAAAAGAGCATTAATAAAAATAGGCACCTTTCTAAAAATACTTCCGAGGCGTCCGAGTCGCTACGAGGCAGTATAAGTTTGGGTAGCACCATGCCTTTCTTGCGCCGACCCCGTATACCGGAAGGCGAAGGCCACTGCAGCTCCGTGATAGCCATGGGGCTGTGGGGACTGAGTATTGTTAGGCGTCGCTCGGGGGGAGGCAGGCTGAGCTGCTGCAAGGCACGTCGCTCGGTGCTCGCGAACAACCCGCGGCGTTTCTCAGCAGAGGAGCCCATGTCTTCCCCGGACAGTGCTCGTCGCGCCGGCGCGCCGCGCGTCTCCCGCACATCCCGTTCGCTAGCCGTCAAAAACGAGCTCCGATGCGTGCGAACGGTTGTGCAGGAGCTAGAGGGGCGCGCCGGCGACGATTCCTTGCTTGGACGGAGACTTTCCATAGAGCGGGCGCTTTCGACCCGCGCCGCGACTAAATATTGTCCGCTTGTAATTGTCGTTTGTGCTACCTCGCATTCTTCTTGGCTCGAACTCGAAGTACCGCTTCGAGAAAATGTACTTGTTTTCGATGCAAAACTTCTATCACTATACTGAGCTGCCGAAATACTTGAAGTATTTGCATCGCCAGACTCTGATGATGCTTGTTGTCGCACGTAGCCCTCCTCCAATGAGGCATGGACGACTCGTGCGTTCAACGAGCTGAAAGCTGCGAGATTAGGCCGTCGGCTCTTTCGTTCATCATCTTCCTCCTCCATTTTTAAAACCTTTTCCTATAAAACCTCACTATCACATGTAAATCGAACACAGCACTATTCAATACACCATATATGCATTTCAATATATTTATTGCATACTTATCAAATTTCTCTTACATAAATAGATAAAATAAAATACTTAATAAGGAACACTGGACACAGTCTTTATCACTATTTGAGACCACCAAACGCGCGGGATAAGGCAGACACCTGAAACAAATATTATGATTGAAATATTTCTTTAAATTTTCAATTATGTTAAAAAAGGATAGGTAATGATAGGGCAGAGGTTTGGAAAAGGACTGATAAGAATTAGGGATTTTCGTGTAGCTCGAACATTAGTAAGAAAATACTGTAATTAAGAGTGGACAAGGCCGAATAAGGCTATTCGGCTGATTTGTTGGTTACATTAGATTGTTGAACATTTCGTTTGAACACAGGCATGTTGTTAATAGCGCCAGTTAGTGTAGAGATTTGTTTTAATTACGTTCAGTTAGCAGCTTTGGAGTCGAGAGCCAGCTGTCCCGCCTCGTTCGCGCAGTCCGTTAAGGCCTTTACTTGGGCTGCGTTCAGGCCGGTGGCTTTCACTTTGACGTCTGCGCTCTTTGAATGCTCTTTGCTCTCACTGCTTGACTCCACTCTCTTCGTGGTCTCGTTACCAAACTCGTCAATGAAGGTTTCCTCTTCAAATGCTTCTTCATAGCTCTCCTCATAGTGCTCACGGAATTCTTGTCTCGCTTGGATGGTGACCTTTTCCGTTGTTTGTTTCTGTTGAATCAACTCATCCATGGTCTTCTTGACGAGCTGTTGACCGGCTTCAAGGTGCTGCTTGCTTTCAGACATCTTGGCAGTATAATCTACAACGATTCGAAAATTTTATGTAATTGTGTTGTGCAGGTATAAACAGCGACTGAGTTAAAACTTCTGACTCATGGGGTCTTGTTTTCGTTTGCCTGTTTACAAATTCAGTTCTCATAAAACGTATAAAATTAACGTACGATGTTGTTTCGGAAAACGGGGAAACAAAAGAAATGTAAGTTCGTTAATTATGCATCAGAATCCAGAAAGCTCAGTTTGATAGAAATTGATAGCGCTGGCTGGCGCTGCGCCAGACGGAATGTTTGGACCACATTTAAATTTACGTTGTTAGAGAATTTCTGGGTACGACTGCGTTACCATCGTCTGTGTTTTTCCCACAATAACAATCGAAAGAATGTGAACCGTGTCATAATTTAATGCTGAATATTGACGAGACTTTGAAGATCAGACATAAAACGAACGGATAAGCTTTGTTGGACTGAATATAGGTCTTTATTGGACACTAGAATGCGGCAACAATGTCACGCGTACTGAACGTCTCGTGATTTATTTATGAGCTATGTGATCCAGTGATGTACATAAACGACACAGGCATGAACTGAACAATTTCTAGAAATATGTATGAAGAAGTACATTCAAACACATTGTATTAGTGTGATTTATTTGATGTGTGTTATTTTATCTTGTGTTAAAAGTCAGTAACGTTAATATAATAGGGAAAATAAACTGTTATTCTTTTTTTAATATAATATGGTTAAAAACCATTCCAAATTATTCACATTAAGATATTTATTTTAGCAGCTGTAATATTTATGCGAATAATACTTGCTAAAATGTTACGTTTTATTTCAATTGCAACTATAGGTATGCTAAAAAAGTACTATTTAAAATTTTATAGTAAAGTTACTAAAACCCGATGGCTCATAAAATAGAGATGTTTATTTCGAAGATTAAGTACCGCATTAAATTAGGTTAGAGATTGCAAATATTACTTTTGAGTTAACACAATGGAATTTCTAAATTGTCCGTGTCATTTGAGTCCGTCCTTGTCTCACCGGCCTAGCTACACGACAATAGGAATTCGTGTCTATTAAAAACGTGCGAATACCTGTGTGAGTTCACTTGACCTATATAACAAACTACAACTGGATTCTAAATTTTTACGCGACTGTTGCGATGTCAACTTTAAGTTCTAAATTTTTGAGTTGAACTTTGAATAGAGAAATTTTCATTACTCACAATGTTTAAATTAAAGTAGAATTTTATCACGATTTGATTAAATTATTAAGGATTTAGGATTTTACATTGGTCTAAAATTAGTGCTAAATATTTAAAACTCGTTAATTTTTCTAACCCGTTTTCGATGAGTTTGACATTATAACAGGTTTGTTTAGTGTTGATTAGTTTTATAGGTTAAAAAATAATACTTTAGATTATAAACTATTTGTTGTTGCCTTAGCTTTAGAACACAATAAAATATTAGTTAGAAACGAATTTAATAAATACCTTTTAAAATGTATATAAAATGAGTCCAATATTGTGGTGCAACACTGAGTTTATATTCAGAGATATTCTGGAGTTGTTTCCTTGCGCAAGCTCGCGAGTGAACTGAGTGGCGGGAGATCCCGCGTCGCGCTTTGTTGCGTACGCGCCGCCTTGCGTGGGCGTCGTTTGCTACGTGGCACTGCGTCTGCGCCGCCCGCCCAAAATATGGCCAGAATTATTCACTACATCTGTCTTGGCAAATTAACTATTTTGTTAATTAATTTCGACAAACATACCATGATTCATGATATTATTTATAATTCATGACTTTGTTTTCCTATCAACCGTATGACAACTGTTAAAGAAGTGCATATTAGATAATGCTTTGGACGCCCAAATAGTTTCCGTGTAGTGATTTACAAGTGTTTATAGTAAATTAATTGCACTTATCTGTCAAAATTGAACATTTTTGTCAGATTAATTACGCTAATTCACGAAAGTCTTGTGTGAATGTGTGCCAAAAATAGGAATATGCGTCAGAAGAAGGAGATTTGCGAGCGATGACTCCGAACGATGGAGAGGGCGATAAACAGACGGCGATATGAATAATGATTGGCAAAGCTCACACTGACTAACTTTATCATTGCATCGCGAATTAAACCCACGACTTCTGGAAAGTATACGGAAAATAGGAATTTGCTGAAATCATTGTTTACAGACTACCTACTCGCTATGAGCTCAAATGGTATTTATAAAACGAAGTGTCAGTATTGGTATTGGGTCGCACCTTTAAATATATCCCAGTGAATTCACATCGTCACAATGTAATTTTAAGTGTTTAGAATAATTTGTTTATAGGATTAGGCAAACTGCTTCGGTTTAATATCATCACGATGATTTTTGTCTATCGAGAATACACGTGTTGAATGTTTCCACTGCCATTTTTATCGATAAATAGCGACCCATTGTAGTTTTGGCCGGATGAAAACCGATCCAAAGCTCTTCCCAAGCACCTTCCCAACATCATATCAGAGTGTAGCATGTTCAATTAACTTAAGTTACTGTTCATCTTCCTTTGATGTACTCCCCTGAGTACATTAAATGAGACACACTATTCATAAGTAACGAATCGGTTTGGAAAACAATTGCTAAAGATTGTATTTTTTTAAGAATTGAAAATCGTCCAACAACTTATTTTGCCCTGGGTGGAGTGAGATGGAGTATCAGACTCTTACTGACTAAAAGCCACCTCATTCCTACTCCAACTTCAGGCCGAAACGCGGTACGTTATTGCGCTTGATCTACAATTTCCGACGTATTAGCTAGCTATCAACACGAACAAGTGACGAGGCTTATATATCAATATTTAAACACAATGCTGTTCATAATTCGATTAGGGCTGGATTAAGTAAGTGTTACTTAAGTAACTCAAAGTTAACTTTGAGTTCAGGCAGAGATCTAATAAGCGAAAACACTATAGAAATATGCAATATTGGGGAATCGTTAAAGAGAGGGGCTTAAAACTTTAAACTACGGACCAATTAGTAAGATTAGGAACGTAAGTGAGCTATTAAGATATGCTGTTTGGACTACTTTTGTAAGTAGAAAGATCAGAATGACTTGGAAATCCATACTTTGATGTTGGAGTTCTCAAAACTTATAGTCTAGTAATTATTAGCTTACCGTTCCAGGTAGAATGGAATCTGTGATTTCAGAAGCTATTTCACCTGAACTATTGTATCCTCTTATTCTTTTTTACAAATTTAGTGATGTTTGAGAAATGAATGAATTACTTATAACTTCGCAAAATACTAGAGAGGTTGGTTTAAAACTACAGGATTTAATTTAAAAACTCTTTAAATGATTTAGGTATATTTATATAAAGCATGACCTAATAGAGAGGCTTGTGTTAAAATGTAGCACTAATTTGTCGCATTAATTTTCACGTAATAAAATCGAAATTTCGACAACGACACCAAACTAAATTTAAGCGTCATAGGTAAAATTATTATTTTTTTGTTTCTTCGTTATTCGCACTCGCACAATTTTTCTAAAGAGACATAGACAAAATATTTAAATTTTTTAGTAAAAATATTTGCGAAAATAATGCTTTATTACTGCGTCTCGTTAATGACCGGCCATTTATATTACCCGAATAAATTGTGTCACCAATCACGTGATCCGGTTTCCAGTGAGGTTTATGAACCATCACGAATTGATGTCGTTAACTACGATGTAATTTATATTCTACAGGCCTAGGAATAAACATAATAAATATTAAACTGGATTATTTATGTTTTAAAACTCATAATTGTGTCAATGTTTGTTTGAAGCATAGACGAAGTGGCATATAATAATTTTAAGGCATCCGTTGTTTATATTTATACATTTTCTCAACGATATTGAGGACAGAACTTAATATAAAGAAATAAATTAAATATTTAATAGCCTACCTAATTTTCACTCTCCTTGATTAATATATTATCGTGAGTGTGATTTGTGTGCGGCTTCTTAGTTATAGATGATCAAACACTAGGATAATAAAATTGAAATAAAATGATATTTTTTTTTTATACAACAGATAGGCTTCAGCAAAACCAACGTAAATATATGTTTTTCCAAAATGTAAAGTACTTTTCCGTGAATTAAATATGAAATTAGCAAATTATGTTTGTCAAATATATGTTTTTCCAAAATGTAAAGTACTTTTCCGTGAATTAAATATGAAATTAGCAAATTATTTTTCTTAAATTATATTATGAAAAAATACTTACATTCAGTAATAATGTAGATCTTATAACTCAAGAATAAATATCCAATTACTTAATAGTAATTTTAATGACTTTTTGACAGAGGAAACTACTTAATTACGAGTAGGTTTAGTTAGCAATGGCTGTCGAGTTCTGCGTGGATTACAAAGCATTTAACATCTGACAGGGAGATGCAAAGCCCGCTGTCATTTATATGTACAGTAACTTGTCTAGTGTACAATTACATCGTTGGGTTATAGGTATAGTTCTGTGATATATGAAGGTACTACATAAGGTCTTTAGACTGAGTTTGTACCCCTTATTTAATGTCTCGTATGAAATGGAAGAATTTAAAATACACAATTAGGTTTTAAATTACTTAAAAAATCTTATTAAATATTAATCAATTCTGGCATTATAGATATAATTTTTGACGAAATCGACATAGATACTGTTTCTTAATAAAAATATATTTAAGGTATTAAGGTATATATTAGGTAAGCACTTTCGAAAATCATGTAAGTAAGTAAGTGTAAGTAAGTTAAACATTAACTTGAATTGAGAAGCAAATATTCCTACCAAGTACTTTTAAAAGATTCTCCGTGGGATGGAAGCTGTTAACTGCATACCGTTTGGTTCTAGAATCTCGGACAAAAGAATATTTTGGCGACCCAGTACTTACTACTTCTACGACTATTTAATTTTCAGTTTTGTTGTTTTGTAACAAATATTTTTTTGTAGTATGTCTTACATTTATCAATCTTAGTAGGTTCGTACTTAAAGACCTAAAATAATCTATATCTATACTAATATTATAAAGAAGTAAAATTTGTAAGTTTGTTTATAGGGGGTAATTAAAGGGGCCAAAATTTTTTTACTGATAGATAGCGACAATGTTTTTGAGTGCTATAGGCAATAAAACATCACGCTACGATCAAATGGAGTCGAGCAACCACGTGAGAGTAGCTAGTATCTTATATAAACATACCGGAAATATTTCAAAAATAACTCATAACACGTAATTTTAGAGAACAACTTCGAATGATACAAGATATACCTTTATAAGTATGTATTCGTCAATACATTCTTAAACATTGTCACACGACGGTATCAATGTCTTAAAATACATTCGATTTTGTAATCTCAAGATTATCCGTCACTGATAAATATATTCATCTTGTTTTACATAACTAACACGTTATGATTGTTGTATGTACATAAGTGGCTTATCACTACATAATATAAACTACACACACAGCTACGCTATCAACGTTTCAAGATTATGAATGAAACATATATAGCATTTTAAAAGAAAACTGTAGGCATGCGAAGAAAACTTCGGTCTTGCATTTCTCCAATAAATACACCATTGTTGAATGATAAACAAGTTTGTTCCTCTATACTTAGAATTCAATTTCATTTGGAATGTATGCGTCCTGGTACTACTGTGTTCTTTACAGTTTCAAATGAATTGAAAATTTTACTTGTTGATTTAGTAGATGCAAATACGTAAAATGAGCAAAGTATAGGTTATTTAGGGTTTCGAATCGGGTGTGAAAAAGTACTGCAAAATTTGAACTGTAAAGAATAGCTCTATTAAAACGTTATTTTGGCCTTCAAAATGTAAGCAGAAGTAGTTCCAAGATATACATAGAGAATTCGATACTTATTTTAATACATTAACATAGACGAGTCTGAACGCCACACAAGAACGATTTTAAGACGATCTAAATAGTACTGCGGTAATCGCTACCGTAATATTAAATAGCGGGCCATGTGCCAGCTTTATCATTAACTCAAATGAGGAAAAAAACTCGTCTGCAAAAACAGTAACAATATATTTTAACATTATCTAACAGACATTAGGAAGCCATTGTGATATGATATCACTTATTAATAATCAGTCTGTTGGCTCGGTAATTCGTACTCAGTAATTTACACACATGAATAATATAACAAAGGCCTTTATTGTTGACTTATGACCCGTATACAGCGATTAATATTTCGTTAAATTGTTATTAGAAACATTCTTTGTTTCATTTTCGCAAAATGATTTAAGATGTGCGTGGATTTATATGTCTGCTTTTATGACAGGTAGACCTTAATTTAAGAAAGGATACAACGCCCTCTATTCTGTGATGTGTTTCACGCGAAAATAAGATAAAAACAAACGTAGTTCAACGCAGATAACTGAATATTGCACGTACTGTACAACATTATTCAAAATAAGATATACAAGATAATATAATTCACAAAACGACATCATAGGTAACAAGTAACAGAATGAGAATAACATTATTGGCTGCACGCGATAGTTATCTTAGGTACTAAGAGCTGTGAGTCGTATCTATAGGTAACACTGATGTATTTACAGAACGTGACCTTTTGTTGC